AGAAGTCCAGAAAATTTACATGATCAGCCTTAAGTCATTCTGTGTGATATTCATTTATTAAAAAAATCTAAGTCCAAACAACAAATTGCTTCTCCACTGACATTCCATCTTTGATCGATTGGGAATGACTGCCTGTGTGGAAAAGTCTGTGTATAAGCTTTGTAGGAAGAAGAGCTATGATTGATTAATGATGTCTGCCATGGCCATAGAAATAGAAAGGAAAGATGTGAACCACAAATATGCTTTGCTAATCTGAATCTTTTCTAATTCCTGTTCAGTGCCTTTTCCACCTAAAGAGAATCAGTCCTGAATATTCATTGGAAAGGCTGATGCTAAAGCTGAAACTCCAATACTTTTGGCCACCTGATGCAAAGAACTGACTCTTTGGAAAAGACCCTGATGCTGGGAAAGATTGAAAGGAGGAGGAGGAGGGGACAACAGAGGATGAGATGGTTGGATGGCATCACCAACTCACTGGACATGAGTTTGAGCAAGCTCCAGGAGTTGGGGATGGACAGGGAAGCCTGGCGTACTGCAGTCCATGGGGTCACAAAGAATCAGACACGACTGAGCAACTGAACTGAACTGATGCTAACTCTGCAATACTTTTTCTTTAAAATCTGCAGGGAAATCACATACCATGATAAGACAGTCACACCAGTTGAGTTCATAATCATGGTGAAACTTAGAGATATGAACATTAAGTTTTTCTGACATGTCCAGCTGTTTTATATTCAGTTCATTGATATAAAATTCCACAAAAGAACTTCCAGAGATAATGAACATCAACATACAAAGATAAACAAGATAGAAAAAAAAAAGCCCAGATTTCTTAGAACTCTGGAAAGGATCTGGTTCCATGCTAAGCACATGGTAAAAACAGTTTATAGAAGAAATACAGACTGGGTGAAGTGATTTAAACTTTCTTCCCTTCACAAAATGCTTTCTGCTGAAATTGCTTTTCTGCAAATTCACTGAAGCCACTTGCTGGTCCTTTTATTAAACAGGAAGGATTTAGGTATTTCAACTTTCATTGACAAACCTACTTCAGGAAATGAAACCCTTATTTGATTTGTTTGAAGAGAATGAATCATAGATTTTTTTTTTACCTGAAAGAGCCCTTTTAAGACCATCCAGCTCAACGCCTTTAGTTTATAGATTGGGAAATTGAGTTAACAGACTTGCTCAAGGCCACATGGTGACTCATAGCAGAGCCCAAAGCAGGGCCTTGGTCTCAGAACTTGCAATCTGGGATTCTCTTCCTGACAACTGGCTTGCTGTCGTCTAGCTCCAGCCTATGAATGAGCATCCCATGAATGATAAATGCCCCCAACTGACATTGCTCAGTGACTTTTAAGAGTTTCCCAGTTATGGCCATCTTTGAATGAACCAGCAATAACCACAAAGCCTTGCTTTAGCCATGAAGGCCTTACAAAGCAGGCCAACCTTCTTGGCTAGGGTATAAGGCATTGAGGAGGGCTTCAGCACTTGTTGCCTAAGATGATGGAAGAGCTACCAGATTGAATCCCCTGAATCTGAGTGCCAAGAAGGAAATATTTAATTATAGATTTGCATGCTACCTAATCCATAGCACATTTTTAAAAAATATGGATAATTATGACCCTACTGAATATATGGTTAAACAATAACAATGTTTCCAATCCCTCCATAATGTGAAGGATTCTAAGTACTGCAATGAGAGAGGAGCGCTGAGTGGACTGTGAGAAATGGTGTCTGATGTCTTCACTGGACCCTAGATGCCCAAAGTCTCTGAGACCCTGACTCAGAGCTGGGGGCATGGCCACAATCCAAAGCTACTACATCTGGTGTGAAGGGGCCCCTTTGTGGGGTTGGGGGAGGAGAGAACAGGTGCACAAATTGAAGTCGGACCCTTTTCCTTTCTTCTCTGAATGGTGATCCTAAAATTATACTACCTCCCAGAAGATGGACCCTGCAGAACTGAACTGATGACCCACTTTTCAATTTTATCAAGCAGCAGATACATCAATTAATGCTGCTATGCTCCAGGGTCTGGTAGTAAGGCTGAAATTAGATTTATAGATTACCTGCCTCTACACCACGCAGGGAGTCGGACACGCTTCATTTCCCTCCCCTCCTGGCGCTGCCTGCTCTGGCCGCTCCCTTTCTGCCATCATTCCCCTCCATTTCCCTGTGCTCCTCTCTCACCTCGAGCTTTTCTCCCACTGCCTAGGCTGCATCATCATGAAAAATAACTGGCATCCAACTTGTCCCCATGTTCTGTGCCCCCCAAATGGAAATAGGTGTGTGCAGAGCAGTAGTGCAGAGTTGTGACTTTTTGCAGGCTCCTGAGAATGAATCACTTTGCGTGCCTGCATGTTCCAGGGAAAGAGTCTGATCTCAGTTCCCACGTTGTGTTGAGAGTCTCTGAGAAGCACAGACAGGTGACTTGCAGGAAATAAATGACTCCTGAATGGGTCTGGAGGCTGGTTTCAGAAGATACTTCTTCTTCTAACATTATCACCTATTCATGTTTATTGGACTGTCTTCATAAGCAATCTGATCATGAACGAATGCCCCCAGGGGAGCATGGTCCATGCCCCACTGTGACACAAGAGGTCTGGTGACAAGGACAAGAGATCCAGGCACACTCAGGATGCTCCTTCAATCCTGCCACACCCAAGTGCTTTTGCTCCAGAAATGGTTTTTCATTCCACTACCCTCTACTCGGTGCTCACGGTGCTAGGTGCTGGGGTTACACAAAGTATATCCCACACCCTCAAGGAGGCTGTACCATGCAAAGTTTACATGGGCCCCATCACTTATATCATCTGCCTCTCCACCCTGCCAAACAAAAGCCACTACTGTCTATCGACCCAGATGAGCATAAAGCGTGTGCTCCCCTTGCGCAGGCAGCTTCAGTATGTACAAGTGCAGCTTCCAGACAAGTCCTCAGCTTCCCATCCACAGGGAAGCCCCTAAACTCTACTTCTGGGCTTCAGAGCCACCATGCAACTGCTGACAGATTACCAAACAGGCCACCCTGACTTCGGCCTCTGAATATGCAGCTCTACTGTTCTGTCAGCCTATCTGCTGTCTGGCAAATTTCTCCTTCTTTAATATTAGAAAAGTTCTCTCTCCTCTTTGAAGCCACCCCTGGCTTTCTCAAGAGGGTTTCAGTTCTACTATATATGATACCTCTGTCCTTCATGGGTGGAAACAAAAAGTCACCCCAGGGATTGGAGCCTGCCAGGCTCCTCCGTCCATGGGATTCTCCAGGCAGGAATACTGGAGTGGGTTGCCATTTCCTTCTCCAGAGGATCTTCCCAACCCAGGGATGGAACCCAGGTCTCCTGTGTTGCAGGCAGATTCTTTACCATCTGAGCCAGAAGGGAAGCCCATCATCACATATGTGAAACCTCTGTGCTTCATGCATAGAAACAAAAAGTACAATCCAGGCAGATGATTACTGGAAGCTTTGGGCACGAAGGTCCTGGGGGGCCGGGGCATCTCTGCAGGCTGTATTCTCTATGATGGACATAGCAGGACTTCCCATCCATTATGTGTAAGAACACATCAGGTTGCAGTACCCATCAAAATGTGGGGAGGGCTTCCTTTCCATGAATCTGGGTAGGCTCACCACCATGGTTGAAAGATGCTATGTGACTATTCAGGCTAGGTTACAGAACTGATATAGCTTCTACCTTCTGTGCTCAGGATGCTTGTTCTGAGGACCCAGCTTGCTGTGAGGAAGCCAGAGATGGCCAGGTGGAGAGATGCCAGCTGACACCCAGCATCAACTATGAGACAGATGAGTAAATGAGTCTTTGGGCGATTCCAGATCTTAGCCCTTGAGCTGCCCCTGCTGACAACGCATGGAACAGAGAGGTGCCTACCCAAATTACAGACTTATGAGCAAACTAAATTGTATTGTGCTAAGTCACTGAAGTTTGGGGTGATTTGTTCCATGGCATTAAAGCAATCTCTCTCTCATCAGTATAGGGCCAGTTCCTAGCACAAGGCATGGTCAGCACAGTCACCTGGTGAATGCTTCAATGACTGACTCCTGGTGAATGTTTCAATGAATAGTCCTTTGATCTGCAGCCATAGCTACTGTTTGGTAGCTTTGGTGACATGCATAGCCAGCTACTTGGTATTACCCTGAAGCCCTTGCTCAGAAGGCCTGGCCCCTGTACCCTCTTGCTCCTAGCCTCCCCAGCTAAGCCTTTGGTCTGAGGCAGGCCTTGCTCCATGGCCTGTGGTTAGACAGCTTCTATCCCCCAGACATGAGCACTATGGCCACACTCATGCAAGTCCTCTCTGAGTAGCTCTGAGATGCCCCATAGAAATGAAAGTGCTTCTACTGTGGCTGCATTTGGGTACTCTGACAATGGTCCTTTATAGATCTCTCGGCCATAGGCCTTTGGGGCCCCCATCCCTGCTCCAGGCTGGGTGGGAGCCACAGCTCTCCATCAACCCCAGAAAAGACTTGTGGACACTTGTGACACATTGTTCCTGTGTCCTGCCCAGAAGCACCTCCTCAGAGGCCAGGTGGCCCAGGTATCAGATAAGGGCGAGGTGTTTTATCTCTGAACTGCAAATGAAGAGAGCTGAATGGGAGGGCGGCTGTGCTGGGGAAAAGGCAGAGATGGTCACTGATGTCTGCATGAATCACGCAGGACAGCATAGCAGCTGGGTCTCTTCAATCTCCATGATTCATACGGATGCTGATGGCCATTCTCTGTCCTCTATTCATTCTTACTCATCGAGGCCTGGCTCTGTGCCATCCTTCTACAGAGGGGCCCACATGCTCTGCTTTGTTCTTTCTTTTTAGCAAAAAATCTGTTAAACCTTGCTAACATCTCCAATGCCTATCTGTATTTCATCAGGGATTCCTAAGTGGCAGATGGTTCTCATGTGGACACTTCTTCCCAGCCCACCACGGTCCCCCAGCTCCCACCAGCACCAGCATCATCTGTGCTGTTACTCTGAAGGGTAAAGGTAAGCTGAGCAGTTCTTACCCTGAGAAAAGAATCCAAAGCGCCATTCTCCATGAACTCCGTGATGATCATGACCGGCCGGCTCTTGGTGACCACACCCTCCAGGCGAATGATGTTGGGATGGTCAAACTGCCCCATGATGCTCGCCTCACTCAGAAAGTCCCGTCGCTGCTTCTCTGAGTACCCAGCCTTCAGCGTCTTGATGGCCACATAGATTTCCCTCTTGCCCGGAAGTTTCAAACGCCCCTTGTACACTTCTCCAAACTCTCCTGCAAAAAGAATGCAATTATAACCCGCTTTCTCCTCATCCTGTGCTGCCATGAGGGGAGGCAGCTTACCAGGAACAATGGTGCTCCAAGTGGAACAGTGATTAAAGTGGCAAAAAGGAAAGAGTGACCTCTCATTATAACTGTGATGGCCTGGCTCTTAGCAGTTCATGGCAAACACAGAAGAAATACCCAAATACGTTCTTTACCTCGGATTTTAGACAGCTTGGATAACTGAAATGAAATTTCAGACTCTATATGGGTTTATTTTTCCTCACGTTTAGTTTTTCATTTGTATCCCAGCTGAACAATTGAGATGAAATGGTCAGTTTCACTGTGGCAGAAACATAATTCATTTTCAGCAGAGCCTAGTATAAGAATGGCCAGGGGCTAGGGACATGTTCAGGTCCTCCAATCCTCTGAATGAGATGTATAGTGTTTATGTTCCTACATTGCCCTGAAAGTGTTTGTGTCTGTTGGGTCCCTGAGAAGCAGACACTGATGAGTTAGGAAGGGAAGTTAGCAGACTCTGTGCAGGATAAAGGGGAGAGGAAGCAGGATTGTCCAAGCCCCAGATCACAATGCAGACCTGACATTTGGAAAAGAATGGAGGAGGAGAAAGCCAGGAGAGGCCCAAACTGCAATGCAGAGCTGACAGTCTCATCCAACCCAATGAAGAGCTCCAGAGTAAAGAGTGCCCATCCCAAAAGACCCTATCCTAGCATCCCACTGTGCTCTGTCACTGGCTGGGGTTTTGCCAGAAAGAGCTGGGCCCTGTGGGAAAGCAAAGGTAGATCCTGAAGGCACTGAGGTGGGAAGCTGGCAGCTACCTGCACTCCCGGCAGCTGAACAGAAAGTGGCTTTTTCAAGTAGACACGAGCAGCACACCTCCATGGGTTCTGCAGCATTTAAACATTTCTGTAGTAAAATCACCAGGAGTAAAAACAATTCTGGTGACATTATTTCACAGCTGCTTAAAAAAATCTGTTGAATCTTGTTCACGTGCTTTCAAAAGTCATGATTTAACTTGGTTTTGTAACTTCAGTGCTTTCATGTGAAGCAGTTTAGAATCTACTTGTAAGTACATCACAAAGACGGGTGTCAAAGGCCTGATAGGAGAAACATGTCTTTCTGCCAGGAGAAATTTCTTTGTCACTTTCAGCTTCTGGAAGACGATGATGGAGCAAACTGTGAGCAATCAGATAAATTACTGGCCGAATTACGAAAGCAAGTTAACATCTGTGATTTAGATGGGACTTTTTTTTTTTTTTATTTTCTGCTGCACGGATTGGAAGGAAGCTGCACGGAAGTGCTTTGGATGTAAAGCTGCTCCAGAGTCAATGGGACTTCTTAGACTCTAAGGCTAGGGTAGAGGTTGTCTTAAGCACCATTAGGAAGATTTCAACATGAACTTAAGATAGACAGCATGTGTAATACTGGTTTTGATACATAATCATACTGTTTGAGGTCAGAGCAAGTCCCATTCACATCCGCACCTTGCACCCACTGCACTGCTGGTATATGGTAGGCATGCACTAGAAGTCGGGGTATCACATTTATTATTATTTGTTTGACTTTGCCCATCCTTGGGTTACAAACTGCTGGAGGCTCTATCTCTGTCTTATCCAAAATAAGCAGAAGTACCAGTATTAACATTTTTATAAAAGACTGTTTACAACAGCATTTCCTTTAATATCAAACACCATATGACCATAACCAGGGGAATGGTTAAAAAGAGAACCGTTAAAAATGGTTAAAAAGAGCATACTGCAGAATGCTATGAGCTACTGAAGACTAATAGATGAGTGAGATATACTGACATCAGAAGATGTCTGCATTATATTGCTAAGCGAAACAGAAAAGAAGAGGAAGTTAAGAATGTGGCCTGTAGAATATGCCCGGGTTGAGGTCTGTGTGTGTATGCCAAAAAACATTATGGAAAAAATTCATAGCAAATTTATTTTAAATTTCAAATTGTTTAAAAAATTGGTTACACTGGAATGGTGGGAATAGGAATGGGGGAGTATGGATCAGTAAACTTAATTTAGTTGCTTTTCTGTTGTTTAAATTGTTACAATAAGCATTGATTTTTGAAGTTTGAGTAAAATTTAAAGAAAAGTATTGAAAAATTAACCACCTGTCATATATGTGTGTGCTTGCATATGTACATATTTGTGTGTGTACACATATGTATGCATATGTGTGTATACATATACATATGTCTATGCATGGATATACATATATGTCTATATGCATGTTTGCATATATTGTATATGTGGCTGTGTCTCTATATATGTGAATGTGAAAGTCACTCAGTTGTGTCTGACTCTTTACAACCCCATGGACTATACAGTCCATGGAATTCTCCAGGCCAGACTACTGGAGTGGGTAGCCTTTCCCTTCTCCAGGGAATCTTCCCAACCCAGGGATTGAACCCAGGTCTCCTGCATTGCACATGCAGATTCTTTACCAGCTGAGCTGTAAGTGAAGTCATGTGCAATTCCCCAGTAGAAGTGGAGAGAATGTCTTTTGTATCAAGGTCAACAGTGAGGTGTGAGGGCTCTTGGAACTAAAACTCTGTGGTTTTTCTTTAGCTGAGTTTTTGCCAGAAAAGAAGAGGTAACTTTTTTCTTGTTGGATTCAGAGATTGACCAAGAGCACGAGAACACCCCTCCTGTTCACCGGGTTTTATTTAGTTGTACTTTCTCTTTCTTCTCCTCCTCCTCATGCTTATTCTAATTCTCTTACACTTTGATCAAGGGCTTCCAAGGTGGCACTAGTGGTAAAAAGCCTGCCAATGCAGGAGACTTAGGAGACAAAGTTTGTATGTATATACATGGGTGCCTGTCCATAGATATATATGCAATCAATTCTCTGACACCTTGACCTAGTAGGTATTCAATAACTAAGAACCAAATGACTATATATGCATATTTAATAAGTATACTAACTGAAGAATATCAGTATTTCTTTCTTATTATCGTACTAGTGAGTTCTATTTTCTTTCAGTAAAAAGACACAGTTCAGAGTGAGGGGAAAACATGCTAATATTTCTTCTTGGGGGAGAGAGTATACTGATATGTCTTGACTACCTATATGCTAGGCACTGTGCTAGGCTCTTTGCATGCCTTATCTCATTAATTCTCGCAACACCTTTATGAGTTGGGTATTATTATGCCCATTTTACTAATAAAGAAACTGAGGCACAAAGGAAACGTGCCTCAGACCCCACAGCTGTGAGGCAGAGTTAGGGATGCTGTCTATAGTTCATACCTTTTCTTGTCACATCACCTCTCAGAAGGCGTGTTCAGTTAGCAGCGCCACAGGGAGGAGAGATGGGGGGAAGTTACCATGCAGGGACCACTGTGCCCCAACCGTGCAGGTCCTAACCACTCACATGCAGTTACTGTCACAGTGACGCAGTAACAAGGGGACAGCAAACACAGTGGGGCTATCTTCTAGACAAATGGCATACTCATGGAAAGCTCTTGCCTGGCTTGCTGGGTAAGATTAGAATATTTAGGAATCAGAATATTTATCAATTTTTACACATAAGTCTGGGAGTTTGTAAAAGCACCCGTGGTGAATTTACTATTCCCCACAACATACACATAAACCCCATAGCTGAGGACTTCTGTTTTACACAAGCCATTCTCAAGGATGGCTTCTCACAGCAACCCCCAGATAGCTTACAAAGCACAGGGGCCTGGATCCCACCTGCAGGAATTCTGATTAGTTGGTCGGGGTGCAGCCTGGGCATGGACATATTTAAAAGCAGCCCACAGGATCAGCTACATAATTTGTGGGGCCTGGTGCAAAATGAAAATGTGGGACTCACTGTTGAAAATTTATTAAGAATTTTAAGACTGTGGCGACACAACATTAAACTGAGCATGGGCCGTGTTGAGTATGGGGGCCTGTGCACAGGTCACAGGTCCACAAAGTCAGGCCTGGCTGCCCAGGTGGGTCTGAGGAGCAGCCAAAGTTGAGAGCCATGGCTCAGAACCACCCAAGCATATTCAAACAGATCAGAGAACTGCCAAAGGCCCTGGAGTACCTGGAATTCATCCCTACACCTTTGGATTCTTTTGAAAGCAGTGCTTGCATATAAGCTGCCTCTCACTGCACAGGGTCTAACACACAGGGTGGGCTTTGTAGCTGTGACCGGGGAGAAAGAAGGAGAGAAGGAAGGAAGATGTGGATGAAGGTGTGGCATCGCAAAGTCCTATCTACACAGAACAGTGTGGGCCACGTACATTCCTTTCCTAATCGACAAATGTCATGTCGTTCTTTAACCTTTGTGGCTGACTGGTCTTCAGGTGTAGCGTTCGTAACACTTTAGCTCTAAATTATATCCTCTATAGGGGGGTCTCATCATATAGTTTTTTGAAATTATAAAGTAAAAACGTGAGAGGATTTTTTGGGCAGTGAAATTTCTCTGTAAGAAATTAAATGGGGGGTGCCTACCATTATAAATCTGTCTAAACCCACAGCATCAAGAGTGAACCTGCACTAAGGACCTTGGGTGATAATGATGTATCAGTGTAGGTTTGCCACTTGTAAAAAATGGAGCACTCTGCCTGGGGATGTTGACAATGGGAGAGACTGTGTATGTGTGGGGGAAGGGGTTATATGAGACATTTCTGTACCTTCCACTCTATTTTTCTGTGAACCTAAAACTGCTCTAAAAAAAAAAAATAGTGTTTTTTAAAAAGTGCTCTCGTTGGATAGGGAGAGATGGGTTCTGTGTGGTTACCATATAGTAGTGTTACTGCTCTTGGAAAATCTGCTCCATAATCACTGGAAAGCAGTGACTTAAAGGATTGTGATTCTGTAAAAATAACTCCTTTCTGGTGTCTGACAAAGAAATGACTTCATATTCTCCAATCCCAGAGGTTTTCAAACCAGCAACTGCAGAGGAAGTCACTTCATCCACCGCTCTCACTCAGAGGCTGTCCTCCACCATGTAATGAAGTGGCCCCCAGAGCAGCTGGGGCAAACTC